TGCGTCCGACACCGCATACTTCCATACTATATGTATATAGTATGCTAAAATCAGTATGCAAGCCGAGTAGTAAGTCGAAATTCATAGAATTCGAAAATCAGTATCCGAGAAGAACCCGGATGACTTACTACTACCAGCGAGATTCTTAAGTGCACATCCCATGCACGCTGGGAGTAAAGCGGCGCAACTGATGCCGGTAGATCACGTGACCATGATAAAATGGTGGAAGTAGTACGTCCGAATTCCATTCATACTTTTCACGTTCATACATAATTCCTGTATAGAATGTACTCTTCTAACGGCCGAGTAGTATATTTAAATAAAAATGCAGTACCTACTGAGTAGTAGGCGGTTTTGGACCCAGCCCATGTCCCCCCGAAGAACCTGGAGGAAGTGTCTGGGGTGAGGGAAATTTGGCGTTCTCCTGAGACTGCTGCCCCCATGACCCGGCACTGGAAAAGTGGATGGAAATGAATGATATGTTGATGATGTACCGCCAACTGTAACGGAATATTGAGTAGGGGGTGGGGCCTTTTTTTGCGCATCATTCTCTTATAGCAAACTAATGGTAAGCAAGGGGGGATTAGTATGCTGTTGCTATGAAAACCCTCATGTTGACGTCAACAGAAGGATGCCAAACGTGGAAGCAAATAGTCAGAGTTTCATTGATGATTACTAAAGTCCCTTTAAGACAAGTGATTTCACTCGACGACCATTTTTGAAATGCCTTTCGGGCAGTATGCTCTGGCATTCTGTCTGAATAGGGTAACATCAAATTCTCCAAAACTGCTTACCAAGCTTACCGTCGAATTTCTTATTAGGATTCACCAACAAAATTAAACAACAACTGTGTTTTTAGTTTCATTTCTAAATGTTCGAATCACACAAAATCTGCAGAACTCTCGTCTGGTCCAAGCCCCTCCCCATGAGTATCGTCAGTCTAGAGCAGGGGTCACCAACCCTGTTCCTGGAGCGCTACCTTATTGCAGAATTCAGTCCCAACCCTGATCAAACACACCTGAACTAATTAATAGTAACTAAACTGAAATGTGCAGGAAGGTAGCTGTCCAGGAACAGGGTTGGTGACCCCTGGTCTACAGCAATCGATGATTGGCTCCTGTACTAGAAGGCAGGATTTATTCGGCATATAGTGATCGATAATTGGCTCATGTTCTAGAAGGCGGGCTTTATTCGCCATATAGTGATCGATAATTGGCTCATGTTCTAGAAGGCGGGCTTTATTCGCCATATAGTGATCGATAAATGGCTTATGTTCTAGAAGTCGTGGCTTCATTCGCCATATTGACCATTACAGTATTCCCCATACAAAACAATACGAATGACATGTCATGTGTATTCTATAGTCTTTTGATTACCAAAACAACTTTTTTTCAATGGATTAACGTGCATCAATGAATTATTATCTTTAAGAGAAATAATGAGCTATCAAAATGAACATTGTAAATTTTGATATCACGTACTGGGATATACGGACGTCACAATGCTTTCTGAATTGCCGTTTTTTTTTTTCTTGAAATAAATATTTAATTATTGATATTTAAATAAATTAAATGATAGCGCACGCATACTAATCCCACACACGAATTGAGTTGGGACAAATCTTTGAACATCATGTTTTTGTGGATTTTGCAAACTCAAGTAGTGTGCATGATTTCTAATCTTCTAGTTTATACTATTTTATTCAGTGCACCTATGGCAGAGTTTACGCTACTTTTTACCATTTATTTCACTAAATATGGGTGGCGCAGTGGTTAGTACTGTCGCCTCAAAGCAAGAAGGTCACTGGTTCGAGCCTCGGCAGGGTCAGTTGTCATTTCTGTGTAGAGTCTGCATGTTCTTCTCGAGTTGGCGGAGTGCGGTACAGGTGAATTGGGTAAGCTAAATTGTCCGGGGTGTATGTATGTGCATTGGATTGTATGGGTGTTTTCTGGAGTTGGGTTGCAGCTGGAAGGGCATCCGCTGTATTAAACATGTGCTGAATAAGTTGTCGATTCATTCCGTTGTGGCGACCCCTGATTAATAAAGGGACTAAGCCGACAAAAAAATGAATGAATATGGCTGTAGTGTATGAGTGGGTGTGAATGCAAGAGTGTATGGGTGTTTCCCAGTGCTGGTTTGTGGCTGGAAGGCATCCACTGAGTAAAACACATGCTGGATAAGTTGGCGGTTCATTCCGCTGTGGTGGCCCCTGATTAATAAAGGGACGAAGCTAAAAATGAATGAATGAATGTTGCTAAATACATTCAATATGAAACTAAGTAGTTACTTCAAACTGCTAAGCAATAATCAACCAATCATAATCCACCTCGATGTTTGGCTAATTAAATATTCATATATTTAAATCTTGACCTTTTCACAGATGAAAAATGAGTAGCTTTTAGGTTGGTTTCAAACCACTGAATGTCCGACTGGAATCCTGCACGCGTATTCCTTTCGGATTTTGAGACTCGGGAAATGTGCATAAGGATAATCAGCGTCGATATATTCTCCTGTCGTCATGTACAGAGCTGAACATTCAGTTTTACATTGGGATTTAAAATACATCGTTAGATTGACATCATGTATCGTTCGTCCCTGTCGAAACTAGAGTTTCCATTAGTTTAATTTAATTCTCTTTATAAATACAACTGAGTCTTTGAAAATTCAAGCATCAGAGGTTTCCAACAAAACGGGATGTATGCGGAAAAATTAAGAAAATAGTTTTATAAACTATATATACACACACAGAACGTAATTTAACAAATGATATTCCAAACAAAACCGAACGTAAACACGTGTAAACTTTTATGCTTTTCTGACATATATGATTTACTATCCAGTTATGTTTTCAGAACATCTGAAAAGAAGTTCGCTGTTTTATGACCAACACATATAAAGTCATATGTATTGCATACATGTACGCTGACGCAGACCGTGGCGAGGTCACGCGTGTGTAGGCACCTCTTATTAAACACTTTGCGGTGTTTTTGCGTCAGTACATTCCAGGTCCTCGAAAACTTTCAAATGGAACGTTTGAAACGGAATCTTCAGTTCAGCTGGTGCTCATAGAACTCTGCCCTCTAGTGGCAGTTTAATGGTTCCGGATGGTTCCAGTAATAAAGATATCATAAAGGAGATCGATACCTAAAATATTCAGTGTATAACCACAGTTTTTCATTTATATTTATATCGGTTGAACTTTGAAATCCTATATAGACCATATTCAGCCAGCTGCCACGATGATACTTCCATTGGTGTAATGCTAATGCGCCATCCAGCAGTTAAAAGACACAATACATCTCTTCAGAAATTTCTGAAGGACGAAGAATTTTAGAAAAGAGAAATCGTTCAATTTAGATCATACATAGGACCTGCAGTTCAGGTAAGAAGATTCCCCAAAGTTGTGTTTGAACCATACTATAGTGAAGTGTACTAAAGAATACTCCATCAATGAATGTTAGATAGCATTACTATAGCAAACTGATCAAATGCAATAAATACTGTAGCATACTTTAGATTTTACTACAGTAAACTGGTGTATTGCAGTACAAGGGTCATTTGTTTATACTGTAGTTGCTGTGTTACCTTTGCAACCATATAATTAATGCCACAGATCAGTTACTATAGTTGTTGTGTTACCATAGCAACTATAGAATTACTGCCACGGATGCATAACTAAAGTTGTTATCATAGCAACAATATAATTAATGCCACAGAACAATTACTGTAATTGTTGTGTTACCATAGCAACTATAAAATTACTACCACAGATCAATTATTATAGTTGTTGTGTTACTATGGCAACTATAGAATTACTACCACAGATCAATTATTATATTTGTTGTGTTACCATAGCAACAACTGAATTACTCCCACAGATTAATTATTTATTTGTTGTTACCATAGCAACTATAGAATTACTACCACAGATCAATTGCTACAGTTGTTACATTATCATAGCAACAACTGAATTACTCCCACAGATGAATTACTATAGTTGTTACCATAGCGACAACTGAATTACTACCAGAGATCAATCACTATAGTTGTTGTGTTACCATAGCAACTATAGAATTACTACCACAGCTCAATTACTGTAGTTGTGTTACCATAGCAACTATATAATTACTACCACAGCTCAATTACTGTAGTTGTGTTACCATAGCAACTATAGAATTACTATCACAGATAAATTATTATAGTTGTTGTGTTACCATAGCAACCATAGGATTACTACCACAGCTCAATTACTGTAGTTGTTACCATAGCAACTATATAATTACTATCACAGATAAATTACTGTAGTAGTTATCATAGCAACTATAGAATTACTTTCAGAGATCAATTACTATAGTTGTTGTGTTACCACGGCAACTACAGAATTACACCCACAGATAAATTGCTTTAGTTGTTATGTTACTATAGCGACGACAGAATTACTCCCACAGATAAATTACTATAGTTGTTGTGTTACCATGGCAATTATAGAATTACTGTCACAGATCAATTACTATAGTTGTTACCATAGCAACAATATAATTAAGGCCAGATCAATTGCTGTAGTTGTTGTTACCATAGCAACTATAGAATTACAACCAAAGAACAATTACTGTAGTTGTTGTGTTACCATAGGAACAATAGAGTTACTACCAAAGATAAATCACTATAGCTGTTGTGTTACTATAGCAACTATAGAATTACTACCACAGATCAATAACTATAGTTGTTGTGTTACTATAGCAACTATAGTATTACTGCCACAGACCAATTATTATAGTTGTTGTGTTACCATGGCGACTACAGAATCATTTCTATAGATCAATTGCTATAGTTTATATTACCACAACATGTTAATTCACATACTTTACTATAGCATAGCTCAAAAACACTACAGTATTTATTATTGGTTACTATAATATTTTTTTCATGTGGGTTTTGAAGCCAAAGAACAATATACCCAATTGAATAATAAAAATCAAAATAATGTTATTTTGTATATATATTTTGTATATAGTTGTTTGAATGGAAGTGAACACCTCAGTCTAGAATTATCATGGCAGCTGAATGGGCTGAATATGGTCACCTGTGAGGAAATAGTGGAGGTGTTGCTAACAGAAGCATGTGTGTTTGTGGTTTAGGCTGGTCAGGGTTGCAGGCGGGTCTCCAGGCTTGGCTCCTCAGTCTCTGGGATGGTGTGAATGGGTCGGACGGGCGAAGGGAAGAGGAACCGCTCTGAGCGCTCGCTGTATTTGGGTGAGGATGAGGGGGAGTGAGACGCCCAGCGGGACGGAGGACGCCGATTGGCAGGACGAGCCGGACGCAGAAAGCAGGAGTCCAGAGGCGGAGCCACAGGAGAACGTGGCAGATCCTGCAGCAAAAAGGAAAAACAGGATTAATCAAGTGTGATTTATGATAGTCTTTACTTTGAGTTCATGTGTTAGTTGGGGGTAAACAAAAACAAAAATTAAATAAATATATAACTACATAAATAAAACATAGATTTTAATTGATATCAAATGAGTAAAATCATTAATTTAATAAATTAATAAATAAATTAATAAATTAAGGAAAGTTGTAAAAAATAATTTATTTATAATATTTTATTATATTAATACTTAATTATTTACATTAATTAATAATATTAATTAATACAATTAATAACATTTTATATTTTAATTGAAAGAGCTGAGAATGAAGCTGAAATAAAATATAATATAATAAAATATAATAAAGTAAAATATAATATAATATTTAGCTTAATATAATATACTATAATATAACATAATATAACATTTAGCTTAATATAATATAATATTTAGCATAATATAATAAATATAATATAATATAATGTAGGGAAAAAACACATTAAAAACTAAGAAAAATGAAATAAGAAAAGTGAAATATTACAATTATATTATAAAGACTATAGAAGAAATAAAATTAATTATCACTTAATAAAAACAAAAAAATAAAAGCAAATTTAAAGTACTGTAATAATACAGTCCTCCTGTAAAATGTGAAATCTTTTTCAAGTATTTCCCAAGTGCTGTTTAATAGATCAAGGAATAAAAAAAAAGTTTTAAAGATCAATATTCAGTTTTATTAGCGCCCTTAAATTTTTTTTAACTATATATTTTTATATAACTTTTAACTATTGTTATCCTGAATAATGACTTGCCTATTTAACCTAAACTGAACCTAAAGTTACACCTTTAAATGACACTTTAAGCTGAATACTAGAATCTTAAAGAATAACTAGTACAATATTAACGTATTGTCATCATGGCAAAGATAAAAGAAATCAGTTATTACAAATTAGTTATTTATAATAGTACTGCTTTGACCTAAGGCTGCATTTACACTGCAGATCTTGATGGTCAACTCTGACTTTGTGACTGCATCCGATTTTTTGGATGACCTGCTTAATTCATGTTCTAAAAGTGACTCATATCCGATTGTCGACTGACAGCCGATTATAAAAGAGCGCTCTTCTCCATTCCTGTATTAAATCTGTTTGCAGGGTTTCATTTTTTGTTTTACAATAGTTTATAACAGAAAAGTTCTCATTTGCCCATCTTCTTTTTATCTAAGCCTTTTTAAACCATTAGGCATTTTAATGTAATGTCCATAGAGTGATTTATGCATGTGACATAAGCAATAGTTTTATATTAGTTTATATTGGTTAGGTGGCGGATGTTACGCTCTCTCTCATTATCATGATTAAATACTTGTGCTATATGACAATATAAAAGCTGTTTAAGTCCTCGTGTTTGAGATTTAAGGTTTGGGACTCTGCTGAAGTCTGTTCTGAAATGAAAGCGTCAGACTTGATGTCATTCACTATGGTTTTTAATGATGCGCGATTCGCATTGACAGGTGAAAAGCCGATCTACCTGCTTACACTGCAGACACAAGGGCACGGATCCAATACATATTGGATAAATTTCCACATTATGAGCAAGGCCTGAATCTGATTTAAGTAAGTGTGCTTTTTTCCTGCTTACATGTACACGGGCCATAACCGTTCTGTGCCACATGGGAGAAACAAATCGTAATTGAGTCACTTGAAGCATGCAGTGTAAATGCAGCCTATACAGTATATTCATTAAGGTGTATATTCCACTTGTTTTATATGTAGAAATTCTGCTTCCAAGGAAAAAAAAATGGTTTGGGCTTTTATTTATTCTGAGTAAATATTAAAAATGAATGAGATCTGGCTGTGAGAGTCAGATATTTTCTGTGGGTTGAATAATTCAGACAGGGATTTACATGTGCTTGAATCTGCGTTGAGTTCTTAGGTGAAGCTAATATGAAGTGAACTTAAATGAAGTTTTGAGGTTCAACAGAGGCAAAATTATCACCTGAATGTTTCTGATCTGCGTCTACAAACCTGTGACATCATAACCAGAGTGAGTGTAAATATGACAAAAATGTCAAATAAAATGTAAACATTATTACATGAAATAAGCTACATGTTATAAGCTACAATTAAAATAAAAAATTAAAATTTTCTAATAAATGAAAAACAATAAAGTAAAATAAAATAAAATAAAAATTACAATTACAATAAATACATAACATAAAATAAAATAACAAAAATACTATTAAATAAAAATTGTCATGAATAAATTAAAATTAAAATATAATAAAAAATAAGTAACAATATTAATAAATGAAATATAATAAAATAACACAACAACAAATGAAAAAAGGCAATTATGATAAACAAAATAAAATAAATTAAAATAACAACCTAAAATACAATTAATTTAAATAAAACAAATCAAATTCAATAAAAATTCTAATAAATAAAATAAAAATAAAATATAGTAAAAAAATTAAATAACAATTGTAATAAATGAAACATAATAAAATAACATATTATCAAATAAAATTACAAGTATAATAAACAAAAGTAAATAAATTTAAATAATATAACATAACATATATTTTTTTAAAAAGTTAGAATAAGTAAATTAAAATACTATTAAAAATAAAATAACAATCATAATAAATGAAATATAATAAAATAACATAATATCAAATCAAATTACAATTATAATACACAAAATTAAATAAATTAAAATAACATAAAATATAATAAATCAAAATTAAATGAAATAAAAAGTCTAATAAATAAATAAATATTTTAAATAAAGTAAAATAAAAATAAATGAAATGAATGACTGTGTATGTACATAATTGTATTATTGGTGTTTGTAAATATGAAGAAGGCTACGAAAATATCAACTTCAACTTCAATGACATGCAAGATTTTTGTGGATTTTTTTAAATTCAAGAAATAAAAAAATCATAGCATTCTTTGCTCATATTTACTAAAGGTGCCAATAATACTTTTGTCCATGACTGGATATATAAAAACATCCAAGCATAAAGGTGTTGTTAGATGTTAGGAATGAGATCCAGCATTAGCAGCAGGTGTTAAAACGCTGTAGCAAAAACCAAACCAACACAAACACCAGCCAATGAGCCATAAACGGCCTCTAACACAACGCTAACACTGCTAGCATGCGCTAATGTTGAGCGTCCTGCTAACACCAGACAGTAAAAACACAAGAGGTGAGGATGTGAAGTCTCCATCAGTAGAGCTGCTGAGGTTAAAGAGCATTACGAACAAATCACAAACACCAAGCAGCCAAAGGACCTACGGAAAGTAAAAGAGTGAGTATTTATTAATAGTCACAATGGGTAAACCATCCAAAAAGCCACTTCTGAGTTTCATTTGTGCTCCAAACGTTAATAATAATAATAATAATAGTAATAATAATAATAATAAAAGTAATATTCATAAAAAATATTAACAATAATAATATTATAAAATAATAACAACAATAATATCATTATTAATAATAATATAATAATATAGTAATATTAATAACAATAATAATGTTAATAATAATGTTAATATTATTATTATTATTAATGTTAATAATAATAATAATAATAATAATAATTAAAAAATAATAAAAAATAATTTTATATACACTAGCGTTCAAAAGTTTGGGGTCAGTGGGATTTTTAAATGTTTTAAAATAAGTTTCTCCTACTCACCAAGGCTGAATTTATTTAATCATAAATACAGCACACATTGTAAAATTGTAAAATGTTATTGCACTATAAAATAACTGTTCAAAAGGGGATTATAATTTAATTTAATAATTTATTCCAGTGATTTTAAAGGTGAATTTTCAACTTTATTACTTTAGTCTTCAGTCACATGATCCTTCAGAAATCACTCTAATATTAATTATTACAATTATTATTATTATTAATGGTAATAGTAATAAAAGCAACAAGGTGTAATAATTTCATTTGAAACGGCATACTGTAAGTAATGAATAAATATTTAATAAATAAGTATTTAAATATTTAAAAAATATATATATTTAATAAATGCTGCCTTGATGAACAAAATAATTTAAATACATTATTTTTTAAAATTAAAATAATATTAATAAAAAAAACTGACCCCAAACTTTTGACCGGTAGTGTCGATCAGTGGATGAGTTTAATAAAATAAATAATTTAATGCGCGTGTTAAATATTAGATGTTTGGTGATAGGCGGTGCTTTTGTTAAAACCTCTTCTTGGTTGGTCCCAAATCTTTTTTAAATGCATTAAAGGGCAGCGCATACATTAGCCTTCCCCTGGAGTTTGTTCACCCTTTGCCTATGGTACTGACTCTCATCCCTACTGAAAAATCCAGCTTAAACCAGCCTGGGCTGGTTTAAGCTGGATTTTTCAGCAGGGATGGCACTTCTCGTAAATAGTAGCGGTCTAACACCGGTGTCCTGGCCAAATTCCCTCAATCGGCTCTTACCCATCATGGCCTCCCAATCATCCCCATCCACTAAACTGTCTCGACCACTGTTTCTCCACTCCATCTAAAGCTGGTGTGTTGTTGTCCTGTGGCCGCCGTCGCATCATCCAAGTGGATGCTGCACACTGGTGGTGTTGTGAAGACACCCCGCTCGAGATTGAAAAGCGCTTTGGGTGGATGACCACATACAATAACTGCGCTATTTAAATACACATTACTTACTATATATCTTCAAAGATAATTGTACAAGAAATATTTTACAATTCCTAGTCATATATATATTTAAAAATGGCAAAAATATTAAATAAATACAGCATATTCTTGCAATCTGAATGTAATACGAGGGTCAAATAAATGCAAATGAGCACTTAGCCACGGTATGAAACTCCAGCCTGCGTTCAATATTAATCAAGAGTTGCTCAGCTTTTTGGATGATTGATTATTGGTGACGTCAGTGAACACCAGACGATGGCATGCTCACACCTACATGAGGACAAGAAGAAGTGTGACCACAATAAAGCACATAC